AATCTAAAAAAAACAAGTAAAAGATCTATTCAGTGAAAACTACAGTACTCTGAAAACAGACATCAAAGAAGATTTCAGTAAATGGAAAAATGTTCCTTGCTCACGGATAGGAAGGACCAACATTGTGAAAATGGCCATACTCCCCAAACTGCTGTACAGTTTCAATGCAATTCCCATTAAACTACCATTAGCATATCTCACAGATCTCGAGAAAACAGGCCTTAAATTCATTGGAACGAGAAGAGACCCAGAATTGCAAAAGCAATCCTGGGCAACAAGGATAAGTCAGGTGGAATCACCATCCCTGACCTGAAATTATATTACAAACCTACTGTAATAACATCAACTTGGTATTGCAAAAGAAACAGACCTGAGGATCAGTGGAACAGAGAGGAAGAAACAGCCACGACCAAAAACACACCCAGCCACCTAATCTTTGATAAAGGGGCCAAACAAACTCACTGCAAGAACGATAGCCTCTTTAATAAACGGAGCTGGAAAAATTGACTTGCCACCTGCCAAAGACTGAAAATAGACTCAAGTCTATCACAATGCACCAAACTCAAGTTAAAATAGTTCACAGATCTCAATATTAAACCAGAAACACTAAATCTATTGGAAGAGAAAGTAGGTAAAACCTTGAAGACATAGATGTGGGCAGAGAATTCATGAACAGAAACCAAACTGCACGTGAAACACTTCAAACAATCAACAACTGTGATCTCATCCTACTGAAAAGTTTCTGTACATCTAAAGAAATCACCAGCAGAGTAAAAAGAAAATCTACAAACTTGGAAAAAGTTTTAGCTGATTGTCCCTCAAACAAAGGGCTTCTATCTAGAACATATAAAGAATTTTAAAATATCAGCCCCCCCCAAATTCAAAGACCCAATCCAAAAATGGGCAGCTGAGATGAATACACACTTCTCAGATAATGAAATACAAATGGTCCATAAATACATGAGAAAATGTTCAACATCATTAGTCATCTGGGAAATATAAAATAAAACAACATTGAGATCCCACCTTACCCCTATAAGAATGGCTAGCATAAAGAAATCAACCAATAACAAATGCTAGCTAGGCTTTGGAGAAATAGAAACCCTTCTCTACTGCTGGTGGGAATGCAGACTGGTGAAACCACTGTGGAAATCAGTTTGACGATTCCTCAGAAAACCAGGACTAGAGGTCCCATTCAACCCAGTTACTCCCCTTCTGGGTATTTTCCTAGAAGATCTAAAGACATCATATCACAGAGATATATGTGCACCTATGTTCATAGCAGCACAATTTGTAATTGCTAAACTGTGGAAGCAACCCAAATGTCCATCCATTGAGGATTGAATAAAAAAATTGTGGTACTATTATATAATGGAATATTACTCAGGTATAAGAAAGATAAACTCAAGGCTTTTATAGGTAAATGGTCACAAGTAGAGACCATACTCATAAGTGAAATAAATCAGACCTGCATGTGCAATCACTGCATTATCTCACTAGTATAAAACCTGAAAGAGTTCATTTAAACTCAGAGATATGATAAACATTGTGAAATGATAGGAAAATGCTCAAGGGTAAAGGGCAACTGGGATGTGGGAAAAGAGAAGGGAAAGAAGGAGAAATTTTGTATGTATGTATATACAGGATAATTAACATCGTTGATCTACTGTCTTCTATTTCTTTGCTGAAAGAAACTTAATGAGTCCTTGTTTAATCAAGATTTCATGTCTCTATTTGTTTTCATGAGAAACCACTTTGAAGATAACAATATGTAATACAACAAGCATTGTTAATTTCTTACCACTTTGTAACTGTATATTGTCTATATTGTTCTTTTGCTGTTTTATAAAAGGTTGTCTGTCTGTTAATGTTTTCCTCCTTTTATTTTTAAAATAAAAAAAGACTCTCAAGTTAGAAAAATCTTGAACACCATTAATCTTAACACAGTATTTTGAATGGCTGTGATTCAAGCAAAATTCAAGTTTTAATAAGTTAAGCTATTAATGGATGCAGAGAAAGAGTACAGAAAATCCACATCAGTATTTCAGGTTTATTTAAAATAAGAAACATTTTCTGATTCCTTTGATGAGAATTCGATGAGAATTAAAGAAAGAGGGAAAAGACTTAATCAGTTATGAACTGATTTGAATGTATGTACAGGGTGAATTGCTCATAATAGAATGCCAGGACTATATTGGGTCCAGTGGAAGTACTGTGATGGTTAAAGTTAGGATTTTAGAGTTAGGTATCTTTACTTTACATCTCATATAACTAGTTGATGCCTCGATCCATTTTCATATAATGTGAAAGGAGTGATAGTTTCTATGTCAGACATTTTCTGTGTCAAAGTGTAAATACCCAGGATGTTAATTGTTATATTACATTACTATTGTAGATTTCTTTCTACATAAGCGTATGAAAAATTACATGCAAGTACTACATACTTATTAGCCAAAACTTATTTGCAAGTCAATTCTTGGTCATTATTTTATGCCAGTATAATAGATGTTGGTTCATTATTTACATGGGGAGGTATTTTATGCAGGATTAATAGGATCCTGTTAAAGTGTGGAGCTGAATTCAGAACTTACTGAATTCCACAAACAGCTCTTACCCACGGTAAAACCAGACTATCACTAGAGATCAAAGTCTTTTCTCAACAATAAAGATGCTCTGTAGCCATTGACTGTTTGGCCTCCATATGTATCTTTATTTTTTTTGTTTGTTTGTTTGAGGTTTCTGTATGTCTTTGCTTTTACAATTGTAGTTTTTTTAAATATAATGTTATTTTAAATAGAAAAAAAAAAAAAAACCACGTTATACTCTGAATAAAAATGTGGGTAAGTGGACCAGAATCCTGATATCCTTAATCAGGTAGCATGGAGTAGACATAACTGTTGAACATGGAAATTATATAATCTAAATTAATAGCTTGGACCTGGCTCTAAAAAGATGGAGAATGTGTGTTAAAACTAGAGTCTCATCCTCTGGAGACTCTGTCCTCTCACTCCACTCTGTATTAAATATGTGTTTAAAACAAAGAAACAAGTCCTTTTATCTGTAGCATGACATTCAGGTACACTTGAGTTTTCCAAGATTAAGATGGTTAGAATACCTTGTTTCTTATGGGAAAATTAGGCATAGAGAGGAGCAATGTCTGTGTATATGAATGATTGATTTAATTTGACACTTCAACTTGATTAGGCCAAAAGGGAACATCCTTTGGATGAACTGTTGGTAGGTGAGATGGTATAGAAAAGTCTAATTCATAGAAAAACAAGTGCCTTAAAAGATGGTAAAAGGATAGCTCCATGAATCCAGGTAGTAAGAAATAAACAGAAAATTTTTTATGTTACTTCCTTTTCGATGAATTGGTTCCCCTCAGTGTTAGACAGATTTTTGTAGCTTATGACAAAGTACTTGAGGTAATAAACTTACAAAGAGGAAAGATCTATTTTGACTCTCAGTTTTGGAGTTTTCAGTTTATGATCAGTGAGCCCCATTTGTTTTGGGCCTGTGGTGAGACAAAAGATCATGACAGGTGTACACGGCAGAGAAAGATGCTTACATAGCTGCCAGAAGGGAAATAAAATGAATGGAAGAGACTAAAGTCCCACAATTCCCTTTCAGGGCAACCCTACAATGACCTAACACTTCCTTCTATTCCCTACCACTTAGTTCCCCCCACTTTCTCAATAGTATCATTTACTACTGTGCCTTTAGGGACATTATAGTTACAAACTTTAATATTATGGCCCAGTTCCCAAAAGGCCATGTGTTGAAGGTTGTTCCCCAGCCTGTGGTTTCACTGGGAGGTAAACCATTAGGATGGGGTCAAGGGGAAGGAAGTTAGAGAACTGTGGAATTTGGGTTTCTTCCTCTCTCCCTGGGTTCACAGCCACCATGGGTCACATTTCTTGTTCCACATGTTCCTGCCCTGAGGTACTGCCTGACCACAGGCCCAAAAGAAACGGGACCAACTGACTGTTGACTAAAAGCTTCCAAACTGTGAGCCTTAATGACACATCTCCCTGATTAGATTGATTGTGTCAGGTATATTTTTTTTCTTTTACAGTGATGGAAGACTGACTAAAACAACGGCTTGTTCAGTCTGTTGCTCTACTGAAGAGACATATCTTGAAAGAAAGAGTTTAATTGGTCTCTGTGGACTAATAAGTCTATTTCTTGGCAAACACAAAGCCAAGCACTTAGTAATTAACAGCAGACTGCATAAAATAGAAAAGTTACCCTATAGGTATTTGGATTGCTGTAGGAGAAAAGTTTAATTTAGAGGGAAGAATCATTAGAGAATACTGTATTCTTATTTTTTTTCTTGGAAACCAAAATTAGTTATACTTTCATGGATTGCAGTACTCCACCCCCTTCATGTTTTAATTTTTATTTAATTTCTTTCCTGAGTTATTTTTTCACACGCCATTTTGCAGGTATTTTCTATCAAAAGAATATGAGTAAAAAAGTAAATTTTAATGTGGTCTTTTGAAATCATAGGAAAAACAATCTTATTCTAGTTTAAAATTCAGCTTTAGCTTGAAGTCTGTATCTGGGAAGGAAAAACAAGAGACACCAAACTTCTAGATTGTACGTCATGTAAATAAAGGAGAGGAGAAGGCAAACATTTCTAATTTAGTCTGAGTATAGAGAACTGTCAAATAGGATTTATCTGGAAAATAAGAAATGAAGCAGTACAACCATTTGTGTATAGCAATTTTGACAGAAAGGCTCTGTTTTGCAAAAGCATTCTTTTTGGGTTTGGTACACAGGAGACAAATTAAAAGCTTCCTCTGACACTTATGACAATTCAATATCTGCCATAGTAAATAAGAAAAAAAAATAAGGAAATACTGTATTGCTTTCCATAGTTATATAAAACTACTTGATGTATCTATGGCTCTATAATATTAAAAACACACAAAGTTATATGGTTTTACTTTTTCTGATGAATTGTACAAACAAAAATGTATATTTTAAAACGAGTTTATGTTGAATTAATTTGATTTTATCTACTGTATAAGCATATGAAACTCATATTGGAAGATTATTTTCTGTAAAAAATATACTAAAGGTAAATTATAATAAGTAAATATACAGTAGCTACATTTTGCTGTTAGGATATACAAGTTCCAGACTCTCTTCGTTCACCTTGAGCAATTCACTAATTCAATCTTGGTCTTTGTTTTTATGTCAGGTGATTCATGCATGCTCTATGAGGACTTTTAACATCTGCCCAACTCCTCACAAGATGTGATATGCCTTCAAACCTGGAGAACACAAAGTAAAAAATTCACTGGAGTAAGAACTCTAATGGATGTGTATTGGTTTTAACTACAAGCATCAACTCTTAAGTCACTTTACAGATCTCTTAGTGATTAAACCCTCTCTTTCTTGTTTATAAGGAATAATAACATTAAAGAGTAAATGCTGATATATTTCATTCAGATCATGGTTGTCTTTCTTCCTTGCAGTACTTTTGCTCTGAGGAGTACTTTTCTAGCAATGAATCTTTAATGTTTTATAAGATATGAAACAATTCCAAGTAGTGATCTTACTAGCAATATTTTTCAAATTATATGTTTACTCAACAGGTCTTTATTAGGGATGATCAAATAAACAACCAAGTTCTGTTTGTGATCATACATGTCTGAACAACACATGTGCATAGTAAAATGATTTGGTAAAAAGGAAACAAACCAAAATATTAGCAAGTCTTGGAATTCGTATGCTTTAATTTTCTTCATTTTGCCTTTCTATATGTTCCAGATTTCCTATAAATATCATTTTACTGCATAGTAAGGAGATTTTCTGGATTGAAACAATATTTAGCGTGAAAACTCTAGATGTTTCTGCTGTAAATTTTTAATAAATTAGCAGGGAAAAAAGGCTGCTTGTCTTTTTTTCCCATTCTTGAATTTGGAAGCATGTTTTTTTTTTAAAGTTTAGTACTTCTAGGGCAAATTTTGTCAAATACATATAATTTGTACAAAAGCAGAACCTAATAATAGTAATTGGTAGCTGAGAGAGAGTTTCATTTCTGTTATTGTGTTTAAAATATATTTTTGCCTCAGAAAATATAAAATGGATTTCTTTACTTGGTAAAATTTAGTTGATGATTCAGTATTATCATTCTTTTCTAATCCAATGGAAAGCTTTTCAGCTTTTTAAGAGAAAATTATATTAACAAACATTTAAATTAATGCTGGTTTAAAAACATTAATGTAAAATTTTCTGCCAAAGTACACATTGATTAATTCTTCCCTTCTGTGGGTTCAATATGACCATTAAAACCAGAACAAAAAATATCACTTATCATTGAAGGAGTCAATATAAGTTAACTCTTAGAAGTTCTTTTTTGAGTAACAAAATTTGGCTTTTGAACAGAAAAGCATAGGAAAAGTATAGAAAATAAAATCAGGAACTAAAATAAGATTTTAGAACTAAAATTATGTTAACTAAACTTCCAATAATAATCAATAGTTTTTAAAAATATATGCCAAACAACTATTCCTTTCAAGAGACACACTTTCTTTTCTGTCTCTCTCTTTTGTTCATTTCAAAATCAAGCACCCGCTATTTGTAGAAGCTGCAGTTTAGTACACAAAATAGGGTATTGGAGTTGCTTGTTAGAAATGGTCTGTCCTGTATGCTCCTTCTCCGTCTCCTTCTTCCAAACTGGAACTAAGTAATTTTCAGAATCCTTAGAATTGTAGGAATTAGGAATGTTGGAAAGAACTGAAAAAGTGAAACAGTTGGTCAGGCTGTGTGACATTACATTGGCCCAAAGTTTTAGCTATTCTAAATTATCCATGTTAATCTAATAAGCTTCAAAAGCACTCCTTTGTAAATTATTCATCCCTGACAATGGGGCCACCATCAAAATCTCATGCTGTTATTCTTTCGGCAGCAAACAAATTCATAAGCAAGTTAGTTCATTTAACTGTACAGGCATTGTACATGGTAGCTTTCAGTTAATCTGGCAGTTAACAAGCTGGACAGACTAAGAGTTTTGCCTAGAATTCACAGAACACTTACATACATTTTTATTAAAAATGCAAAAAGAATTGAATTTATCATTTATAGTGTAGAAAACACTCAAGGATCATCCAGTGCTCAAGTATATGATATCTCTAGAACTGCCACAATTGGCATGACTGTCTTAAAAGCCTTCAGGAAAAGAAAGTGTAAGGAAAATGTGGCATGTCAGAAGTTAACCATAAAAACCTTTCAGCTGAAACAAAGAGAAATGAGCACCTAATGAAACGGAAACTATTTGCCAGATATTTCCTTCCTTACTTTATTCGTATCCTTCCCAGATATAGGTTTGAGATTTCTATTTTCTCTCTAAATAGTAGATTGAAGAAACTAGTGCAGACACCTGGCAAAGTCCAAATGGCCAGGCTTTTGAAAATGGAATTTATGGCTCCATGATGTCAGTCTACATGTACATGTCACCTTCTGTTTAGACCTCTTTAAACTCTACCTAAGATCCACATTGTACTTCATATTAGGGTCATGCTAGCATTGAATCATATGTTTACATAATTTGAAAATGGGTCCCAGAGCAGTTTTCTTAGAGCTGACAAAGAAATGGATGACAACAATTACAACCACAACCACCATCAAAACATAAATTTGGCTAAAATTTCTGACTTTAAGGAAATATTTGTCTTCTGAAAACAGAGTCAGTGTAATTAGGTTTAAAATCCAGAATGATCATCACCTCTATTTAGAAATAAGCCTTTTATCACAGTGTAAGATTTTAAATATTTAAATGATATATAAAACCCATAAATGACACATAAGACTTTTTATAACTCTGTAAGATTTTAAATATTTAATATTTAAATGGCATATAAGACCTGTAAATGAATATGAGGTCCTTTATCACACTATAAATTTTAAGTGACATATATGATCTGTAAAGACCCCTCTGGGGAGCCTGTGGTGCATAATATTTATGTAAAATATAACATTTATTAACAACCATGACCTTTATTATTCTACCTCTACAACTCTAAAACAACAAAACATTCTGATATCTTGGGCAATAAATGTGCACTTCTTCGGGTACATATATTTCTTTGGCTGTGTCAACGCTGAAGTGGTTGAGAATTTTTTTCTTACTTAAAAGATAAGAATAGTTATGAAAAGAGACATTGCTGTGAATTCTATTTTATATGAGATTCTTAAGAGAAACATTTTAATACTTTTGAAGACCAGTTTTCAACTAAAGAAAAAATTACATTTTCTGGTATAGGCCTATAAGCTTTATTATTCAAAGTGCCGAAAAACCACATACAAGCCTAAAAGTATAGTAAGAACTTTACCCTTGCTTGTTTTGATATCAAGCCTCTCAAATATTTTCAAAGGGGAAGGCTGATATATTTACCCACGTTTACTTAAAAATTATCTCCTCATATTTTGTATGCATAGTCACAGACCATACAGTCAGAGAATGTTGCAAACAGTGATGTATGTCATATTATTTTCATGAGAGTTGTTGAACCTGTTTGCAGTTTTGACTGATTGCACTGTCATGACCACTTGTGGTACTCACAGTGTTCTTGTAGCATTAAAAAGTTTAAATGAGCTTTTCTCTTATACAGTTTTACTTGCTTATCATTTGGAGGAATAAGTTCAGCAGTTTCTCTCGAGAACTTATTCAGAAAAAGAGCTTTTTAAATGGCTGTGGACTTGGAGGCAAAACAATTGGCGCTGTCTATTGCGTCTGTGTAAACATTTGTACTTTAAGCAGTTTCCTGGTATTCTCTTTTGAAACAATGCCTAGCCTGAAAATGAACATGGCACTCCTTGATGCTTCTATTTTCCCTTCCCTTGATCAGTACCAGGGAAGGAGGATGTAATGGGTCCTTCGGAAAGCCTTTTCGAGGTGACAAGAAACTGAAGGGAAAACTTGAAATCTAATGATTTCAAGGCGGTCTACATTCTTGCAGCCGAGTTCACTTCTGTAAACAATCGGTGCCTGATGAGGACCCGAAGGGCTGAGGCACATTTCTGCTACATTTACAAAAATAAAGCCGTGCACACGTACAAAGCATGTTAGAAAAGAATTGCCCATCTCCTGAATGTGCTAGAGCTGAGCTCAGAAAACAACACAAAATGGAAATGAATGTAAAACAGGTTATAAATTTGTGCATATATGCTAGTTTGATTTCATAAATATAAAGAAATAGTCAAAAGAAAAGGTATATACAATTATATTAAATAACAGTGTATTTTGGAAGTCTATTCTTGAAGTACCAAACAGGATGAATATTTGGAGGTGTTTGATATATAATTTCTTAAAATAGTAATTTGAAATAACAGTTTTCATGCAACCAAATTTGTGTGAGAAAATTTTCAATTACTGAATAGGGATTTCAAAGAGAAAACAGACCTAGATAGTAGTTCATGTTGGAAAAACAGATACTAGGAACTGCTTCAGTAGGGGTAAAAAAAAGAGATCTCCATATAGTACTGACCTCAATTACAAATACAAGGGTGAATGGAGTGTTTTAGCCAAAGGCGGGGAGTGTGGTAGATGGAATATTAAGTGAAAATATGACACATAAGGGGATGTAGGAAATGTTTTTTAAACTGACCTATTAGGATTCTTATTAAAGGCAGGCCAGGGTGGGATTTGGAAACTGGAGGATTCTTCTAAATTGACATATCAACATTTTTGCAAAAATTGAGTGATGCTAAATCCACAAGTATAAGTAGTGAATGTCAGGGTCTGAAGGGAAAAGAAAGGTCTGACCAGAGTTAAGTCAAGGAAAGAGTCTTTGTTACAAAGCTTTTGAAAGAAAATTCATTTTTACCTTAAAAGCATGGTTCCTTGGAAACTGAAAGCTCTTCAAATATTATTGTTTAAGCAACTTTAAACTTAATTTTGTAGTGCTTAAAAAGTCTACATTTATTGGCTTCTTTCAGTGATACAACCTTTCAAAAGAGAATTGCCAGACCCATAGTCCCGTTTCTTGAACCAAACTGAAATCTTTTAACAAAGTCGTTGGTAGTGAATCACTTAGCAATGAATCGCTCAAGGCCTTTTTTAAAGAACGTCAATACCAAAAGACAGAAGAGGATATGAAAGGAAGAAAATCTGGACTAAGTATGGTCTAAGAAATTAATCGAAGACATTCTTTTCTCCTTTGCTTCTTCCAACAAAGTACTAACAGTTGGGAGTCTTTCACATGGAATTGGCCTCAAGCAGTCCATGAAATGCAGAGGCAGGAAATAGAGATTCTGAGCTGAAATTTTTTCAAAGACCTCTAACTGTACTACTATTAAATATGCAAACAGAAGAATTTAAGGATGGAATTAGGAAAGGATGGCTGTTGGCGAAGAAATGGGAATCTCATTTAAAAACCTAGACTGAGGACCTAAAGTAGACTTTAGAGGATGAGAACAAAATACTTCATACTTTCTAAGGAAAATACTGAGCACAGAATTGTGGTACATACCAGACATAAGTGGTGTCTCTTATTCATTTAGAAAAAAACAGTTTTATGTTCAGAACTGATTTGCACAAAATAATTACATTGAAAGATTGTACTTTACATAACACTAAAAACTAGGTATATGTAAATGTGGTCATAAATATTAATTTGCAATATTTTCATACTTTAAATTATGCTCTCTATACCATGAACACATAGCTATGTTATATAACACATATTACACAATATACATATATATATAAATTGCAAAATATATATTTTTATACATTAGGTAATACATGCCTATAACTCATATATATATAACATAGACATGTAATATAGAGTACCCATTATAAAAACATAAGTATATGTATAGTTGTATGAATGGTAAATGCGTATTATTAATGTAGTTAATTTATATGTATTATTTATAATTACATGCAAATGTTATGTGTATATTATAAACATACAAATAGACATATATAGTATACATTTATACACATTCTATTGTTTTTTATATGTAAACTATACATATTTTACTAATGTGCCAATTTATTTCAGTTTAAGACACCAAAATATTATTTCTGCATATAATATTCTAAAAGTTGAGGAGCAATTTAGAGTGTATGAAAACTAATGAAGGAATCATTATAAATCAAAATTAACATTCAGTTGTCAAAGCTTCTAAGCATAGAATACATATGTATCATCCCTGTAAAGAGACTACTAAAGTGATGCTGCTCTTTACTGTTTTTATTTAGGATCTAATTCTTTTAATTTGTTTTTATCTGAAGCTGGTTCTAAAATCGTGAAGTAAAAGTTTGATATCAGACTAGGACTAGAATATTATATAAAAATATTTTTATAATCTCCCAAATGCTGAGCTTCTTCTGAATTCTCACTACTAATAATATCAACCAGTCCTTACATTATACTGACTGTGTGTCCGGCGATGTTCACAGACATACTAACTTGGTACCCCTGTGAACGAGGCTCAATTTTCCCTCTATCCTCATAGACTTTTTCACCTGGGCCTGAAAGGTAAACTAACCTGAAGCAGATTAGGGGAAAAAAACATTCAGGTTCACTTAGTAAATGGTCATATAAAACCTGATAAAGAAATTATCCAAGAAGTGGCAAAACTTAAATATTTTTGTTTTAGGTTGAGCTGAGGTAATTGTAGATAAGGGACTAACCCACTCGAAGGAGCTAAGGGAATGTTATTTTAGTGGCAAGGTGTGTCTATTCCAAGTTCCCTAACTCTCACGTTTCTCTTTGCCTGGTGAGAGGATTGTTACAGTTCCTCCATAATAGAAAGGACAACTTCCATATAGAGGTCTTCTACTTTCATGAAGGGAGAAAAGACGGTCAGAGAGCCCATCTTGCAAGTGCTTCTTTTTAAAGTGTCATTAGCGCAAAACTATCCTTGTGCCAAAGCAGCATAATTAGGGCAGTGTATTCTGCCACAGTTTGATCAAGATAACCCATAGGATTCTGCAGTTGGCATGTGTTAATACTTTCTCTTCAATAGTGGTTTACATGCTAAGAGATAATAGAGTGCGGAACAATTTGTCATTAACAAGCACCCTTCAGGTCTCTCCCCAGGAATGCAATTCTGAGAGTGCTCCTTCCCGTTGACAATTTTCTTTTAGTAGTAAAATTTTAAGTAAGTATGGTCAAACAAATTAGACATATACTCTTAATAATTTACCAAAAATGTGCCAAGTTAAAAGTAAACAAATCTATGCAATTAAAAAGACAAACAATTGTTCCTTTTGAATACTAGATAATTTGTAAATCCAAACGTGGTTATTTCAGTGACCCCATGAATCTAATCATGTCCTCTAAACTTCAAATTTCTGGAAACTTTTAAAATTAATACTTAATGAAAAAACACTCCTTAAAAACTAAAAATAAACTAAAATACTTTTATGGAAACAAATCACATTCTCATTTTATTAAATAAATAATTTTTAAAAATTATTCCATATTAAATATTTAGACTGAGAGAGCTTGGAGGTCACGATTTGATTGCAAATGTTTTTCAATGAGTTTAGTGATCCCCCAGTTTGCTAACCCAGGGGTAGGTCATAGTCTTCTTCATATCTGAGAGTTCGCTGAGTCCGACACAATTGATTACTGGCTCTTTCTAGAAACATTGGTTTCTTGGCTCTTAGCATACCATATTTTTCTGATTTATCTCCATCTCTCTTGCTACTCCTCATTTTCCTTTTCTGATTTCACCTAATTTCCCTGACCTTTAAGTTTAGAAGTGGATGAATATAATCATTATGAACATTATATAACCATTATGTAATCATTATATAATCATTATGCACACTTGTAGTATTATAGATTAAAAATAAAATTAGGGGTTCAAGCTTCTTAAGTCTGTTCCTACCCGCTGTTCAGTTTTATTCTCATTTTCCCGTATTCATGCGTATATGTCCATCTCTATTGTATCTCCAAATTAGATCTCCGTGCACCCATACTTTGAACTGCCTCCTTGATAACTCCACCTGGATGACCAACAGTGATTGCAAATCTAGTATAAAGACACAAAAGAAATACACAACACAAATCTTCCTCCAAACCTGTGAATTTCTTTTTTTCCTTCCCAATGCCTCTTCCCATATTTTTCTCCTCTAATCATTGGTGACTTTTTTTTTTTTATTAAGTTCTCAGGCCTCAGAATGTGGAGCTATCTTTAGGTTCGATTCACATTATTCTTCCAAGCGTTCTCTTTGCTTTCTCTACCCCTCACCCTCTTCCTCATTCTCACCTCAGCCTCTCTGTGATAGCAACAAGCCACCAGCCATTTCTCATCTGGATGGTCTTGACAGCCTTTAAGCTGGTGGACTCACAATTTGTGCCATTATACTTTTATTCACAACACAAACCACACTAATTTTTTCTGACTATCTCCAATGTTGCCCATCCCTATGCAATCTGACCTCATTCCTTCTTTGTCCTACGTCTTCACTCTACATATGGACAGGCTTGCTATTCCTCCAGCTCGGCCAATGACGGTGTGCAGTCTCTGGTCTTGTGCTTGGTCTGCCCTGTCTCCACTCCCACATACCTTCAGGCATGTTCATTTGATTTTCTCCCTCAATTATTGAATTAATAGCACCTTTTTAAGGAATGGTTGACTGACTGCCATGCTTTACAATAAATCCCTAACCCCTTAATCTTGCTGTCTTTTATGACCATCTTTAGCTTGTAAATCATGTATCACTATCCTACACTTCTGCACTAGTCAGTTATTATTCAACGTCATTCTTCTCTCACTGAATTCTTCTCTCCATATTCCATGAAATGAAATGCTTGTTTGCCAGAAATCAAACTCAGGGCCTCATACATGCTCAGTAGTCACTCTTTTACTGAGCTATGTCCCAAAACCTAAAACAGGAATTTTTATGTCCTTTATTCTACTCTCACATCCACGCCTTTCAGGATGACTGGTGCATTCTGGGTGATAAATACTTTGCAAAAACTAAATCCAAAAGAATTAATATTTAATACAATGCTAGATGTGGAGCTCTTTATTTCTTTTGTCATTAGAAAAGACTGAAATAATGACAACCATGCATATTTCCTCAAACAGAATACTCAAACCCATATAACTGCATCTGCAAACTGAAAGGAAAGAGAAGTAGTGGCATAAAAAACTTAATTGCATGGACTTTGGACTTTACATTCCTTAGTCCAAGTTCCAGTTCTGCAACGAGATCTTTAATATCTGGCTGTTTGACTTCATCTGAAAGGTCCACAGATTACTACAAGTGTTAGATACACAAAATCATTTAACTCCAACCTCTATTCATTATTTAATTATTTTTTTATAGACCACTAGGCTAGGTATAATGTGCTCATAAGTACAGAAAGGAACTGTCGGCATTTAGAATGAAACCTTGCTGGCTCGAGTTAAATTCAAACCTATGACTGCACTCTAACCATCTGAGCAATTGTCTACCATCAGAAAAAAAGATGATCAACATTTACTCTATTTCTTCTCCTGCTGAGACTATGAGATAAAACGAGGTTTTAGAAATAAAATTTCAAGTTCAAGAGTTCATTCAGCATATTGACTTTTTAAATGAAAGCTTCTAAAAATATGGCGCACTCTAGTACTGCACCATGGGTCCAGACATTTAGTTCATTTCAGTGTGTAGGAAGTACTTAATTACTATATAAAAATGGAAAAATCTCAAGTGGACAACAATTGTTTGTTTTATCTTTATAACTGCTGTGTACTGCTGCGTGATATGATTTCTGAGGTTTGCTAAGTGGATCCTGGGGTTCTGTTAATCTAAAATTTCCCTACATTTTTTCATCTTTGCTACAAAATGTTAAATTTAAATTAAGTAGAATGGCTATATCAATGAAGTTAATCACAAGTATTTAGAAATAATTAAGGATTTCTCTAGTTTATGTGAGACACACAAGAATAATGTGGAAAAGTAATATATTTCCAGCTTAAAATGTTGATTTTGAAAATATCAATCATAAAAAGGTTGAATATAAAAATTACACAATGAAATCTTATATTGACTTTGAAATGTCCTTTACCTAATCATAGATGCTATTATAAGATTCTATGAAGCTAGAAATCCTGTTTCTTTTTAAATTGGTTTCATTGTTAAATCACTCCCAATAGTCAGTATTTATGAAATAAAATTAAACTGTTATGAGCAAAAACATGTTTATATAAAAAAGCTAAGAGACAAGGAAAAAAATTTCACCAGATGAATTTACTCTAGAATTCACGAATTAATTTACTTATTATTATCTTCCAAACAACAATAGACTTTTTAGTTTCAGCTTTTTGGGAGATTCTGAAGCGTGGCATAGCTAACTTAGTAAATAGTTATCTCCATCTCAGTTTCAAATGAGATGGTAAAATAGATGAAATTACTCCTGCTTGTTCATTTTCATAATGAGTTTATACTTTAATGTAACAATTTCTAAACTGTGGGCCTCATTTACTTAGTATGGTCTCCAAACATGTACTTCTACTACTTCCATAGTGCTTTAATTCTATTTTTGAACAAAGTGTTTCTCAGTTGGCTTAGTTCAACTATAACGTATTTGTGGAATACTTACATGGCATGCACTATGCTATATGTAGGGGGAAATTACCCATTCTATGTACATGCTTATGGTCTACTCATCCTCATAGAATGTAAAGGATGTTATAAAATTCATGTAAAATATAAAATGCCTGAAATAATCTTTTTTATTGCTTTGGAGATAATCTGAATCTGAAGACAATAAAAATTGGGTTAAAATTAAAGTAGTAGATGTTAAAAGAATACATAATATTCAAAAGATTTTTAAGACTTATAATTTTACTTGTTATTGGGGGCCAAAGCCATGAGAACTTTTCCTTTTAGTTTTCTATATTGATCAAAAGATACAAGGTAATATATTTCAGAATAGGCATGTATCTTTTGGATTATCTTTCTTAAATTTTTAAATATTTGATATTTTTTAATTACTATTTTTAAGAAGTTATTGCTTATTTTCAGGGTAAGTGCCTGGAAAGCTAATATTCTGAATTTCTAATTAAAGACATACCCATAGGCTGTGGCTTGGCCATACATGAGTTTAGAGTAAAGATGCTTTATGAAAGGAAGGCATATCAGTGGCCTCATTAATATCTCTATGTAGCTGAGGCTGCCAAGATACATAGGAGAAAAAATAATTGCACACAACATACCGCAATCAATCATACCCAAAGAAGAGATCTACAAGCTAGATTTACCTAGTGAATAACTATCATTGAATACCTTCTGTGTGCCAGGCACAAGGATGCAAAGATGGGGCCAAACAGCTTCTGCTTCCAGGAAGCACAGTCATACTTCCTCTTGCTCTGCACACCCCGTCCGCTGTCACTGCAGTAACAGAACAGGGGTTGTAACTGCCACAAGAGGTGGTTTTCCTTCTGCAACTTTCACAAGGAAAAGAGAAATCAAAGCTCACAGGCACACTTTATTCTCACTTATTTAAAGGAAATCCTTATGAATAATTCTCATAACTCATATTTGCTTATGAAATATTTAGGTATATATATTATATATATATATATATAATAACTCTTGCAATCATTAAACTACACTGCTAGATCATGAACTCTCACTTTATAATGAGTAAATGGAAACATGACATCTCATTCCCAAAATGTCCCTGACCATTGATTTCACTCTTGAGTGTTAGTAATAGCATGCACAGTAGCATGGAATGAAAAATAAAACAAACAACATGAAAATATAAAGTATACTACAGCAAGTAATTTGATGAGTGAAATAGCTCTTTATTCTCTTTCTTATTTTCCATTATACATAAAAAATTTCTTTAGTACTTCAAAATGAAACCTGCAACTTGATTATACTGCCTTACCTATTTATAAATAATATTCTAGAAGTGAGCACCTTTGTTTCATCCCTCCATTGAAACAGAAATTATTTTCTTTGGAAGGAGACAAAAATAGAAGTGTAAAAGTGCACCATTCCTTCAGTGAAGGTTTTCTTGTTAGAAACCCTGTGTCTCAGATTCTGCTGATGCTGGTGCCTTTGACTTTTTTTTTTTTTTTTACATTAACTGAGTTTTCTTTTCAAACACTGGAATCATTCCAGGATATAACACAAGGCATTACATGGAACCATTGTATTTGGATTCAGAAATTCACATATGAATATGCTCTTTTATAAGAAGAGAGACAAGATGAAAAATAATCGAACTTTCCAACTGTTTGATTTTAATGGTACAGTGTTGTGTTTGGGCAGAGGTTGCGACAGGGGCCAGTTTATTTTCCTAATAGCTATTCACAGAGTGGTGCAAGGTAAGACAGCCCATAAATTGAATTCAGAGAAAATTTATTTAATATCT